CAGAAAATAACCTTAATAATGGGAAAATAATAACTGACACCTACAATAATAACTCACGATTTGAATGGTATTAAAACAGATAAAAGTTGCAGTTGTTAAGAATACTCATAAAATTACATTTTACAGTATTCATGATAACATGAGATAATAACATAACTCAAAACAAAACTAAAAATGCATTTAGTGTTTTGTGAAACTTACAAGACATCGAAAATGTAAAAACGTAAAACCACCAAACAGGATGGAATTACCACAGGAAATATTAAAAATGAAAGTGACTGTGAAATAAACTTGTGTAGATACTGTTATAATGTTGCTTTAACAGTATTAATAATGCATATTGTTACATTGTTTCAGGTTTGAATGCACCATGGCATTGAGAACAGCTTTATCACGCCTGCTGGTGAACTCACAGAGATGTTCTCTGATCTCTGTGTCAAGGGCCCAGGGCACTTCAGCATCTGCAGCATATGGTTAGATCACTAATTCACCATAACATAACCATAACTTTGAATGATCGTATCAGTCGTTAGGACAACAAAAATAGACAAAACAGGAAAACGAGAGTTTTATGGCACATAAACTAAACTCATTTTACATTCACATTAAAAGTTGATCAAATTGCATCAAGTTTCAGAATTAATGTGTTTTCATGTTAAGGCTTGGTAACTAAATCTCAAATTGTCTTGTCTATCAGAGACAGAGGAGCAAGCGAAAAAAGCAGCAAAAACACGTAAATATATTTATTTAATATTTTCCAATTGTAATGTTTGAATTTGACATCATGTACTGTATTTGAGCTGAAACTAAAAAGCTTTTTGATTTCTAGCTAAGGTGCAGTTTAACTGGCGTGATGCGTTGGATCTGGAAGGACAGCTCACAGAGGAGGAGATCATGATCAGAGACAGTTTCCGCACATACTGCCAGGAGAAGCTCATGCCCCGTATCCTCATGGCCAACAGGAATGAACGTAAGTAGAACAACTAGTCACATCTGATGTATTAGAACGGGGGTCAGCAACCTTCATGCATGATTAAAGCGATAGATCTGTCAGGACCACTATCGTCAAAGATGATTGACAATTAGCATA